GGATGTATGGATGATCGATCAGTTATGGTTTTTTTTTTCTTTATTACAGGACGCAATCTACACATAACATACAATAACTAAATTGAACTGAGAGAAAAAAAACACACTTATCCCGTATTTACAAGTAAACATGAAAAATAAATCCCTATTTAGGGTACCGTTACCCCCTTTAGATTTTAAAATATCTACGTTGAATTAGAAAAGACCTTTCTCTGTCTTTATAGGATTTAGAGATGTACACAACACAATTATCATATATTCCAGATTTATATTTTTTGGTACGCCAGAAGCGCGTCTCGTCTACATAACAATGAACAGCAACACTCAAATCAGAAGAGTTGTAAGGAAAACACATTCTAAGCTTGTATATGTTTATTTATAGATTTCTGTCGTTTAGGCAGTAAAACGCAAGAACATCTGTTTCGTCAAAATATGATTATGAATATAATTTTGTAAGAAAAATATTTTTAAAGAATACCGAGGGAATACACATGAAAATCAATATCTGTGAAATTCCAAATATTCAACAACATTCGCCTGTCCCCAGTCAGGAACCTGTAGCCTTGGTCAGCGTTGTGTGTGTTTTTTTTTATTTTGGTTTATTTATATGTTTCGGAGTTTTGTGTGGCGTCCATTTCGCTGAACTAAGTATACATTATTGTTTAGTGGCCAGCTGAAGCCCGACTCCGGATTTAGAATTTTTTTGCTGCGTTGAAGACCCATTGGTTGCCGTTTCCATTCTCAATTCTTTAAAACTATTTTGTCCATTTTCCCCACTTTCCATCTTTTTCCCATTTACCCTAATCCCAGATTTCGGATTTCCTTAATGCATTGTATAGGACCACCTCGGGCTGTCTGCTTGCTTTTATGTGGTCCTACTGAATTGAAAATCGTGAGGTGAGCTACGGATGTCTGTTTATGCATGTTACATTGGTGATTGTGTACCGTCTTTATGCCATTACCCTCTGCATTATCCCATATCCGCACCTTTTCCGTGTGTAAAAGCTAATGCCAAATAATCCTTTGATGATGATCAATAATCTTCAAATCATTTATACTCATGGTGTTACATATCAAATATATAAGTGTCTACTTCATTTTGGACAAAGTCTGGTTGAAAGACATATCAAGAAACACTTATCATGGCAAGGCACCCAGTCATCACCACCTAGATTCCTTCCATATGCTGTGTTTTCTTTGATAATGAATTCACGAGTTAAGCGGGAACTATTGAGATCTACTAACACCTATTTCCATAATTGTTTTACTTCTCCACAGATCCCCCGGTTTGCCTCTTGATTCTTGAATTCATTTCTTCTTAACAGAAGTTTCGATGGTTCTTCGATGTTCTACCCGGAGTTTTCCCTTAGGAGATCTGAAATGATTCTTCCATGATTTTGATATGCGTTAGATTACCTTTCCCAATAGTTTTAATGTAAGCGGGTTTTTTTTTTATAGTTATGAAATTTGACAAAACAATTACTAATTGTTGTTAAAAGTCACATACCTCTGTTCTTTTTATATAATTATTGTTGATCCAGTTCCATACTTCAACAGACAGTAGTAACATGATTGGTAATGTTTGTAACGTAGTTTCTTTTTCGTCAATTAACAATTTTTTCAAAATCAAGTTTATCAACACTTTGTGTCTCCCTCTGATAACCATACAATAACAAAGCCCCGGTTTCTAATTTGGCGGTTTGTTGTCGAATAGAAAGTTGATTTACAATTTAAAGATATTGTTTCTAGAATCATTCAAGAGAGCTCTATCCCCTAAGTTGATTTATCATTCAGGAGAGCTCTATCCCGTAAGTTGATTTATCATTCAGGAGAGCTATATCCCCTAAGTTTATTTATCATTCAGGAGAGTTTTATCTCCTAAGTTGATTTATCATTCAGGAGAGCTCTATCCCCTAAGTTGATTTATCATTCAGGAGAGCTCTATCCCCTACGTTGATTTATCATTCAGGAGAGCTCTATCCCCTAAGTTAATTTATCATTCAGGAGAGCTCTATCCCCTAAGTTGATTTATCATTCAGGAGAGCTCTATCCCCTAAGTTGATTTATCATTCAGGAGAGGTCTATCCCCTAAGTTGATTTATCATTCAGGAGAGCTCTATCCCCTAAGTTGATTTATCATTCAGGAGAGCTCTATCCCCTAAGTTGATTTATCATTCAGGAGAGCTCTATCCTCTAAGTTGATTTATCAGTCAGGAGAGCTCTATCCCCTAAGTTGATTTATCATTCAGGAGAGCTCTATTCCCTAAGTTGATTTTGATTTCTTTTATTTTTGGCATTTAACAACCTTAAAAAACGGCATTAATCCTTCAAGGCGCTTGTAGTTATAATTGGGATTAGTAAAGTAAAGGAAAGGCAAAGATGTGTATTTTTTTAAGAACGGTACATTTTTATGAACAAGATACAACAAATTCAAGGGTACCTAGAGTGACGACTCTACTTCGCATCCGAGAAAAAAGTTTCCAACCATCTTTGTGAAATAACTTTTAAAAAGCCTAATTTCGGAAACGATATCAGGATTAGCTTCAATTAACGATTGTAAGCAACCAAGGAGCAATTCAAAGTTTTCTGAAACCCTCTCGAAACACAACTAAACCTTGCAATCGCTGAACAACTAGTGTGAGCTGATAGGATGCCTTAACGTTTTTGGATGCTTCGGAAAAAAATTGTCGATATTCTTCAATTTATTCAAGCTTTCTGGCAATGTACACTCTACTTCAGTATGAATCTTAAAACTGTTATACAAATCACATACTCCCCCTTTTTTGTCAATTTCCTATTCTCCCTGTCTTTTTTCCATATCACACTTTTCTAACCCCTATAACCCACATCCAAAAAAGCGTGTTATACCCTCATCTATCATATTGCATCCATCATTTAAATATCACAAGACATTAGTCGGTCAGATACCAATATGTATTTCTGTTGAATTTTGTTTTCCACATTTGTTTGATGTATTCAAATGTATAGAACACATTTCTTCTACAATGCTGTTGTGGGACATGTATATTTTATATACCTAGGCGTGGTTAAGGCTCTGACTTATATTCAGAGAGAGAGAGAGAGAGAGAGAGAATTATACTGTATATTGTATATTTCATATTAAAGCTTTGTCAGAGATTTAAGATATCGAGCCCACAAATATTTGGAAAAGACAACAGTTACAACTTAAAGGAGGTTGTTGCAGTTATGACCTATGTAATGACAATGTTGTCATGACAACTACACCGACTACAACAACAACACAATTTCCTACTACTATGATTACTAGCATGGTGGTAATGATTTATAAACATTACAAAAATATAAGAAAATGTTTGATTTTAAAACAAACAGAATCTTTTAACGGACAATTTCACAATATCATATATTACCCAAGATATGTTCAATCAGAAAATGAATTGATATTCAGTAGCGCTAGCTGCGGAACCGTAGCTCTTATGGTCCTTATGATACTTTTTGACAATTGTCCGCAATTTGTCAAAAATATCATAAGGACCATAAAAGCTACGGTTTCACAGCTACAGAAGAACTAGGAGTCCGTTTTTATAAAAGAAATTACGACTAAGATTGATCGTAAGTATACTGAATTGTTCATGACTTACGATCAATCTTAGTCGTAAGTTTGTTTGTGAAACCGACTCCTGACTAATATCAGTAATTAGAAAGTATCAATCAATGAATAGCAAAAACACATCAGAATCGATAACCAGACCGTTGACAAAAGTTAAACAAATGTGGTTGAATAGTATTAGCTTTGTTTTTAAATCTTATTATATCTTTTTCAAGTAATAATTACCAATCATTGATAATTTATTTGAGGATTGCCAGTTTGTTTTAAGCGACGATTGCCAGTTTGTTTTAAATGACGATTGTCAGTTTATTTTCGACTTGTGGGTTCGTATCAACTTCACAAATAATACATGATGGTCTTGAAGTATAGATTCTAGGTACTGACGTTGTTTATCATCTTCATTACGTGTTATAGTGTTCTTTTATTTGTCTTTGTAAATTATTACCTTTACTGTTTAGTCCATTTTTGGTAATATCCATATGGCGTGGCTCGGTACTTATACATCCCGTCATAATGTTATTGTGCTATGGTCAATTTTTGTATTCTTGTCTTTCATTTTTGTTTATGTTCTTTGCCTATATGCCATTTTGTTTTTCTTTGTTGACATATTTGTTTGTTTTTTGTAGTAATTAAGATTATAACACAATGTTGACTGCTGTACCCCTATTTTTGACATTTTTATCTATTATGTCTGTTTGTTTTGTTCACACATTTTTGTCAATATAATGTAATTTTATGCGACTGTCATACAAGTGAGGGGTTTAGCTATCTATAAAACCAGGATTAATCCACCATTTTCTACATAAGGAAATGCCTGTACCAAGTCAGGAATATGACAATTGTTTTTCATTCGTTTGATGTGTTTGAGCTTTTGATTTTGCCATTTGATAAGAGACTTTCCGTTTTGAATTTTTCTTGGAGTTCGGTATTTTTTTATTTTACTTTTGAATATCCCTTTTGCATCTCGCGCCTGTCGTTGATCTTAGCTTCTTGATTCCTTAAAACATTAAGAATAACGTTGATTTTGAATTTTTCGATACATCAAAAATTAAAAGGACGAAACCAATTGAACGAACTGTTTTAATTTATGTATTCAATGATGAGAATATTTAAATGATTTTGTTTAATGTCGTCACCTGGAAGATGATTATTGACTACATTTTAAGATATTTGCGAATTTTTTTAGTAGGCTGCGGTCACCGTTCATCAAAACAATGTCCTTCAGGATTTCAGCTTTATGGACATTCGTGTTACCATCTATACAACTAAAGGAAGAGACTGATTTCATTGAGCCGAAACTCCTCTGAAATCATAAAAAGTCAGAAATATTTGTGATATGACGTATAAATGTAGTGTTTTGTACTTCCTAAATTTGTCTTTGAAACAATCTTTTTTCCCCAGAAAACGCCAATTTTTAAAAAAATATCCAAATTCGGAGACCGTTATCAATCTGTGTCTAATACGCTTTCGCGCATGCTCAGTCGACGTACTGCCGGCGAAATCCAAGTGAAAGTTAGAAGAAAGGATAGAAAATAGGACAGTTAGGCCTATAAGGATCCTGTATTGTATTGTGAGTGCATCATTTTGCTAAATTAAACGACATCCACCCTTTTTACTCAGGTGCAGAACAGTCCAAAAATGAAATGGGCGTTGAACGTGTCGAAGTGATCCTCTCCCCTTTTATGTGTAAACACAGGCACCCGACGTCTGGACCCCTCCCCCTTTTTATGTGTAAACACAGGCACCCTTGACACTCTTTGTTTCAACAATTGTACCGCGATTTCTCGGGCATCTTCTAGTTTTGGTAAAGACGCGAAGAACTGGCATGATGTAGAGGTATAAAAATTGACCCCAAAATAAAAGCTCAATTGGGAAAATACTGCCCGGAAAATAAATGTACAATATAAAAATTAGAAGCTGTGGTATTATTTGCAATGAGACACCTATCCACAAGAGAATATATGACGTAGATATAATCAACTATCGGTCATTGTACGGTCTTCATCAAGAATCGAAACCAATACTGTATATAGGTTCAAATAAGTCGTGTAAGCTATAAAAGGTTCCGAGATAACAGAATTCAAAAAAGTCAAACAAGAAAACCATTTATTCACAAATGTATGTACAAAACAATAAACGAAAAACAAATATGACAGACATCAACTTAAGACAACCACTAGCTATAATACTAAATACACAACGTACCGATCTAAGAGTAGTACAATTTGCAGTTATCGAAAGTCAGTGCGTGTAATCAACATATCAAAAAGTCTATTCACCGTAAAACATATCTACTTTGTGTTTCCAGTTATTTCCGAACGCCTATGTCACGGACTCTAAGGAGCTATCTGAATGTGAATCTTTTGACATAAATTTGTTCATTTTTCAGAGTTACTGTCAGAGTAAATGTACCAGACTTTCAGACTTCAGTTCGCTAAGCAATCTACAACAAGTGTTTTTCCATATTCTTTCAAAAATATCATATTCACAAAGTAAGTATGAATACTTTATATGAACATGGCAATTTTTTTAATTAAATTAAAAACTTCTGAACTTTACTTTTTTATGCTGTATGTAAATATGGCAGATAACTGGTCCAGGTGACTTTTGAAAGGGACACGTACGTTTAGAATTTATCTTTTTAGTAAGTACATTCTGCAAAAACTAAAATAATTGTTGAGAATTGACATTAGGGTTGTCTTTAGTTTACAGGATTAATATAGCATTAAGTTCGTTTAAACTCTTCACTTGAACATATCTAAATCTAGGGATGTTCCAAGTTGTGGATGTTGGTGCAAGGTGTGTTTTGTTGTGCAGTTTACTAATTTTGGTAATTCTTGGCCTCTTTTTTGTTTTTTAAATAAAAGATGAACATGCAACTATATTATAAATGTATATTGTCGGAAAATATATAATTTATATGTACGAGCTTTAGAAACAGACGAAAAGCGGGGCTCGCCGAGCTTTTCTCCTGTTTCGTAGCGAGTACAAATACAATTCATATTTCGTACAATGCGTTTTTATCCTGTAATTTACACCCGGCACTTTAAGATTTAGTTGTTTAAATTCAAAGAGTTGTATCTGATTTTTCAATGAATTCGACATAGTTTAAACACGTACAATGTACCGCGAAGAAGACACCAAAATACTTACAAGGGGTGTTCAAAGACATTAACTACACATGCGGGTCTCGCACGGTCCTAAAAAGGAACTGTCACACAAAAGGAAATATTCACATTACCGTTTGCTCAGTATGAACGCAACGTAACAGGAGACGTTATTTCTACAAGTACAAATAAAAGTGAAAATTTTTTTGTGTACCTGTTATATGTACAATAAATGACTGATTGCAGGATAAAGCTTTTTATATGGTAATCGAAGATTTTTAAAATTCTGATATTAGCGTTTACTTATTTTTCTTCTACCTGTAAACCTTGGGATGAATAACGTTCTGTTTAGAATCATTAGCTGGGAAGTTAATGTTAAGTATGAAACCTAAATCGCTTTTTAAAGTCATGTAATATATATACTATTCTTATCCTTTTAATTTCAGCATTGAATTTTTGGACAGATGGTGTCGTATACACAACTTATAGCCATGGTTATAGACATTATTGGTTGTGGTCAACTACAAAAGCAAGAATAAGTTCTGAGTTGACTGATTATGTCAATCTCAGTAGGTCTACTGAATGCATAATGCTTAATAGGAATTCCCTCGCAAACACTGACTTTTTGTCGGAGGCAAATTGCCAAACAAAGTTAACTCCAGTATGTAAATTGTAATAAATTTAAGAAACACTTACTTTTCGAAATTACTTTAATAGTCTTAGATAGGGGGCAAAGGTACCAAATAGTCAATCAAAATTCACAAGAAGAGGAACTGTCAATACCATAGAAAAAAAAAACAAAAAACGACAAAAGATAAACAACATGCTTCTGTTACAACATAAAACATAGAAAACTAAATACTGAGCAACTTTAACCCAACCAAAAACCTCGTTGATCTCAAGTGCTCCGGAAAGGTGATCAGATCCTTCTTCATATGTGCATATGACACCTCTTGTGTTACTCATGGCAGGTACAACTTCTTAAATAATTCTTACTCGGTGATGAAACAATTGAGGAATCATAAAGTTCAATTTCCGTTTTGTTGCAGCAACATTCGAGCTTCATTACACTGGTATGTCTCCCATTTTTTATGATATTTAAAAGTTTCTATTTCATATAAGTATTTTCTTAATGATAGATTACTGATTACAAGGAATTTACTAAAGACGATAGTATTTTTACTGAAACATGAAAATTGGATGCAAAATGCAAAACAAGATTCAATTAGAGAGTGATCTTATGCTTAATTTTGATATCAAAGTCAATTCTGACAATATCGACGCTTCACATACACGGATTTTACTTACGAGTCCTTACGCATCGCCAACTCGAAGTCATTCACAGGCAGCCGTAAATACCTCACTGGTATTTGTAATAACTCGTAAAATTTGTAATAAACCGTTAATACATCCTAACATCTCCTAAATCGGTCGTAATAGTTTCCAAATCGTAATAATACGTCAATTTATGCGATCCATAAGGACTCGTAAGAAAAAAATCCGTGTTTGTGAAAGGGGGCATAAGCAACGTAACAAGTGCCGCTTTAGGGGCAGGAATGTACCCCGGAGTACATCTTGGTTCTTGTTGCTCTATCTTTAGCTTTCTGTGTAGCATTTAATGGACTGTTGTTTGTCTTTGCTTTTCTCCTTGGCCATGTTATTGTTCGTTTTTGTCGAAATATGTTTTTGGCATACATTTGTTAAATAAAAATATATTCAAGCCACGTGTTAAAAAATCAGTTTACTCTACATTTTATTAATTTGTCTTACTTTTATGTTAATATGCAGTATGTGATCTTCAAATAAAAAAAATCAATTGAAATCACATAAACCAAATATTATAAGGTGTAAAAAAAAAAAAGAGGCGGGAGATAACAAGAGACATTCAAAACTCATAAGTCGAAAGAAAACTGACAACGCCATGGCGAAAAATAAAACGAAAGACGACGAAAATACACACAAAGTAAAAGGTTCAATAAGACTTATTAGTCAATTTATTTGTTAAGCCCGTAAATATTCACTGTATACGGACTTTATAAATAGGGGTGTTATCCTGTCACAAAAGCTGCCTTTGTCGACATTGATGTATGTTGATAACAATTGTAATTTACGCAATATAAGCTTGACGGTCACTGTCATGAATTGGTTGACCGATACAATGTGTATGTGTTAAATGTTCGCAAGTGACATTTTTTCTTGCTCTATGTGTTATATATAGATACCAGAACAGTCGTCTGGTCTGTAAATATACCGATTGTATCGCATTCCTGATTGCAACATTTTGACTGATTGTGGATTCGGATGGTGGTCGATGTATGCATAGCAGGGGCTCTTAAAACACGAGTTTCAAAAGGTGAAGTTGAAGTCATCCCTTTGACATTTTTATGGACGCTATCTCGAATTTGTTGACCGCTATAGCATATCTGTTTCATATGTGACAACAGTCCCATCCACTATTCTTTGAATGTGACCTACCGAACAAGACTTATCACCGGGCATGTTCTAACATTAGCAGCACGACTGATGCCAAAGGTGAGGCAGGATCTGATTATACTTCCGGAGCACTAAAATCACCCCGGTATATTGCTGGGGTTAGTTTTGCTCAGTCTATAGTTTTCTATTTTGTGTTTTGTAGACTGTTTGTCGTTTTTTTTTTTTTTTTTCCGTTTTGCCATGACATGTCAGTTCATTAAAGACTTATGAGTTTGCAATTCGACCAACCCTTTTTGTTTCTTCTATCTCATATTTACCCCGTCAATGCACCGTTATGGGTTCGTGTGACCCCTCAGGTGTTGTTTTTGTTTTATTCGGCATTGTAAAATGTTCCATGTATCTGTTTATTCGTCATTAATGTAATTTTGTTCTGGTCATATTTCATTCTTCCTTCTTCTGAGTGTATTCAAATCTGAGAATATCAGAAGCCTGTGTTGAATGCAGATTTCTATGCAGTTTGGTTTATTCCCAGTTATGCTATTTTAATAGAACATGGAGACTACAACTAGGGAATTTAGATTAAAAAGCTGAACGTGTATAAACACCTTTTGTTAAATTTTCAAGTTGTTACTTGTAATGCATTTTCTGTTGACCTATATAGTACAAATTGTGTAGCAAAGGGGAAAAGCGAATAGAGGAGTAACAAAGGTATATAGTTGTGATCTGCATGTCAATAGTTTGCTCATAACATATCCATTCCGTTGTCTAAATTTTCCATCGACTTCATTCTGAAAAGGTAAAGGATTTTCTCATGTAGTTCACATACAAAATATTTTCCAAATTGAATTAAATCTTTTCAAATACTATTACATAACTATTTCTAAATATGCTCGTACAATTGACCAACCACCCATTGTTATATCAATAAAACGGTTTTTTAACGATCAATAAGGGGCACAATAAAAGACAACATATCCCCATTCTCACTTATTTTAGCGACTTATTTAGACCGTTTGTCTTGTATAAAGCGGTCGTTTTGTTTCTGCCATTTTGAATTACAAAGGGTGTATTGAATGGCATATTGAATTTAATCAATTATACATTAAAAATAGAAAATATTGCTTTTAGATTTAACGTTGGTTTGTAAATATTATTCAATAGAAATAAAAAGATGTGGTATGAGTTCCAATGCAATGAGACAACTTTCAAACCAAGTCACAATGTGTAAAGAGTAAACAATTATAGGTCAAAGTACGACCTTAAGCACAGAGCTTACATTATTGATATATAACTAATTTTGTTTTATTGATGAATTTCATTTTGTAAAATAATATGATTCAATAGAATCGGGAAAAAATACTGACACTGGAGTGTAATCCAAATCATTCATACTTTTAGCATCTGGAGTAGCTCTGAAAGGAGATTTTACCCTGCTGCAATTATAGCAGATGCAACCTTTCCCTGGATGGAGTACTCGGCATTCATAAAGTGTGCAACCCAAAGTCGCACACAACTTGGCACAGTAGTACGGTGTGCAAACATGCAAATGAGCTTCCGTACCTTCAAGATAAATAAGACCAATTAACTTTTATGTATTTTCACGAAGTTTTATAACAATAATACCGACCTACAAGGTTAATCCAGAAAGAGGAAGTTTATAAAAACTGACAAAATCAAACGTTATCAACTAACGGAACGAGTAAAAATGTATGTCATGTTCCTGAATTGATACACACATTTTCCAAAAAACTGGTTTTATAGCTACCTTTACCTATTCGGCATTCATAAAGTGTGCAACCCAAAGTCGCACAAAACTTGGCACAGTAGTACGATGTGCAAACATGCAAATGAGCTTCCGTACCTTCAAGATAAATAAGACCAATAACTTTTATGCATTTTCACGAAGTTTACAATGCATAGTTATTTTGTTGACAGCAAATTAAGTGTTTCTGTAGACTTGTATAAGATAAACCAAAAAGTATAACATTAATACCGACCTACAAGGTTAATTTAAAAAGAGGAAGTTTATAAAAACTGACAAAATCAAACGTTATCAACTAATGGAACGAGTAAAAATGTACTGTCATATTCCTGAATTGATACACGCATTTTCCAAAAAACTGGTTTTATAGCTACCTTAACCTCCCACTTGTACATCAGATAACGGAGTTTCGGTAGACTTAAATGAATAAAAGTAACTGGAACACATTCTATAAATGACACATAGATGAGAGGGTGATAGAGCAGATTGCTATCACGAGAAAATATTGTAAACCCATGCAAAGTCAAGGTTGACAATGTTTTTTTCAATGTGTAATCTCTGCTTTATTACTCTCTCAGCTACGTGATATGTAATTTATCATATTGAATGTTCTTTCATTAACCATTGTCTTTTGAATTTTAAATTGAAAGTACTTTATTATGACGTCATGTACTAAAAAACAACAAAAGTGAAGCAAGGTGTTTTTATTATTTTGACAGTTAATGAAAAGAGAACAAAACGTAGAACTTGAGCTTTGTATTTAAAATTATTGATGTAAATTCGATGCATTGTCCTTTAAATCATCAATTTTCTATTGATCTGCTCGAGAGGGTAACATACAAAATTTGTCTTCCACTAAGCCATGGGATAGGGTAAATTATCTCCCTCGTATTAGCCAATAAAAAACTGACATTTTAATGGTTAAAGTATAATAATAATGTTAATTGTTTGAAAACAAATCATGGTGTTTCTGTACACCTCGTTGAAATGAATGAACAATAACTGGAAATGTTTGAGTTAAGACCAAATTATTTCACTGCATCGAGTGTAAAACAAAACTCTTGAATCAAGACATGTTTTAATATTTCAAACTAAACTGCAAAAGTTATCGCAATGTCGTAATAGAAAATTCAGAGGAAATAAAGAAAACGTGACTTGATTCTCTATTATGAACAATGAAGAACTGAGATCAAACAAACCACGTGTTTATTTAGAAAATAATTATCAACCGTTTTGGAAGCGTTGAAAAAAGGAATTCGAGAGAATATTTTACAAACAAATTACTTTATCTTTGATACATGTTAAGGAAAAAGCTCAATTTTTACTGACAGTGACTCTTGAATAGTATATTTTATCTACACACACCAGCAATATATAGAGAAACATATTTACCTGCGACAAAGACTGTCACTACAATCACTAACAAGATTGTAACCTTCATGTTGCCCGTTCTTTTTTCGGGGTAAATAGAATTATGATCCTAAATTTGAAAAAGATACAAGAAATTATGTTATAGATAATGCATATTTTAAGGTTTTTCTTGTCGTAAAACACACCGAGGGGTGTCAGGATTGATCAAATGAAAGACCGACCGTAGGGAGGTCTTTCTTTGGGCAATCCTGACACCCCGAGGTGTGTTCTGCGACAAGAAAAACCTTAAAATAT